AATAGCAGAATATTTAAAACCGTGTTTTGGATTTGTGAAACCTTTTTCTGATTTGAGAAACTTCAATAAAGGCTGATTTCAGACGTTTTTTGGATCTTGGTCACATGAGTTTAATTTTCAAAAGGTGCTATTAATCTGACGTATATCCTATTTCACTGAATCAGACTGTCTGGCATTCATATTTCAGTTTGGGATGTATTCATAGGACAAAAAGTCACATAACTGTGGTGCATCAGTGCCCTCCTCACAATGCCTCTCCACCAACATGTAGCACAAAGTTACGCCCCTGCTTTGGCAATAGGTTCCCTTTGGACAACCCAGTGTCCAACCTAGTTCCTAGTCCCTAGGTTGGGACTAGGTTGGCCGAGTCCCAACCTAGGTTCTTCCCTGGAGAACCGGTATATGTTCTGAATCGTGTCCTCCGGTTCGGTCTCCGGCACCTGGCCAATCAGAAACAGACATGCAGGTGTTTGAAGTGCCGCCCCATCATCGCAGCGAGGCGCACTAATTAGCTGCATCACCATGGCAACAGCTCATCCACCTCATCAGTGATGGAGTAAATGAAAGAGGAGGAGGAGGATGGAGAGAAGCAGAGAAAGAGTTCTGGAAAAGGAAGTGGAGGAAAACAGATGGAGGGAGGAGCGCTTCCTGTTTCTGGCCACGAACAGGAAGTGTGGCAGCGGTTTCCGTGACGATAAGACCATGGAATGTGTTTGCATTCCCAGAGAAGATCGCACCTGGTCCATCAGGAGCTTCCTGTTTGTCCCCGAGGCCTGAGAGGATATGTCCTCTCGGCTGCATGTCTGGACAGGGACACCTGGAGACACCAGGGGACAGCTGAGAGATGTCTGTCCTTGTACATGTTGCTGAGATCACAAGGTCTCAGTGCTGGCGGAGGACAGAAACTAGTGGAAGTGTCCTCTGGACAGTGGGTCAGGACGTCCTGCTGGACGGCACGGCGATGGAGGAGTGATGACCTGGACACTGAGCTTAACTAGAAGGTCTCTGTCCAAATGTCCAACAGTCTCAAGCCTATCTGGTTTTAAATCTACAATAAAGTTGCATAAATAAAAGGCAAATATATGTTGATCTGTTGCCTTTTATTGTTTATAGTTTGTTTCTTGACTTAAAGAGCTTTGAAAGGCACCTTCAGAAAAAATGTATTATCATTATTACAATAAAACTGTTAACAGGACGAAGAGATGAGTTTAAAACAAGTAGTTAGCTGCTGTGAAACTCGGTGCTGCCAGTTCTGTGGTAAATACGATGGATGTCTCAGCAGGGAGCCTGAACTGACCTGGAGTTGCTCTAACTGGACACTGGTGTCTTCCAGGTTCTGTTTGAGGCCGTCAGCACCGGGCAGAGAGGAGTCCTGGCCATCAGAGACATCACTCTGCAGGGACACCAGTGTAGTAAGTACACACACACACACACACACACACACACACGCAATGACAGCAAGCTCCGCCCCTTACCAGAGCAGGTCTCTAATTGATTAACGAGGTTTGGGTACCTAAACGGATAATAATGTAAAAAGTTCTACTGGCATCTTAAAAACAAGGTCAAAATGTGTGTGTGTGTGTGTGTGTGTGTGTATGTGTGTGTGTGTGTGTGTGTAGGCAGGGGAGCTCATTAAAATATAAATTGATTAGCATGGACTTTGATCCATGCGTCTGTTTATCTCACTGCTCATCCAAGCAGCCGCAGTTTAGATGCTGCCCTGTTTTTGATGTGTGTTTGTGTGTGTGTGCATTTGTTTGTAATACCTTGTGGGGACCATTTTCCTGACACATGCTATGTTGTGGGGACCCACTGCCCCTTGAGGGGACCGAAGGTGAAACGCTGTTTTTGGGTCAGGGGTCAGATTTAGGTCGAGGTGTGAATTGAGTTTGGTTAGGGTTAGGAAAAGGGTAAAGGTCAGGTTTAGGCTGTAGAAATGAATGGAAGTCAATGGAAAGTCCCCACAAAGATAGCCAGGCAAACATGTGTATATCAGTGTGTGTCAGAGGGAGTCGTCCTGTGTGACGCCAGGTGTGGCTGCTCTGTGTTGCTGACTCAGTGTTTGACCTCTGACCTCCCTGTGCAGTGAGCACACCCCACCCGCTGCACCTTAAGGCAGTGGAGGTGAACGCCGGCCAGACGGCCTCCTTCCAATGCACGGTGAACGGCCAGCCGCAGCGCCACCTGCTGCTCTACCTGCAGGTGAGTCCGCCCACAGCAACGGTCTGGCCACGCCCCCTTCCTCTCTCACCACCTCTCTTTGGGTCGCAGGGCATGGGGGGTCTGCAGGCCGTTGCCAAGGAGACCAGGCCGTTGAACTCCCGGCGTTACGTGGCAAGCTTCGACATCAAGAACACAACCAAAGGCAACTCGGGACGCTACCGCTGCATCGTCCAATCAGATCGAGGCGTGGGCGTGTCCTCCTACACTGACCTCACAGTCAAACGTGAGTCCTGGCCTCTGATTGGCTGCTGGACGCTGTCTGACTTTTTTCAGTGATGAAACCTGAATGTAGGAGACCTCTGTGTGTGTGCGTTCAAACTGGGTCAGGAGGAAGTGGAGCGGCTCCTCTGAGGATTCTGGGTAATAGAATCCAGGTCTGCTGTGATTCACCGAAGGTCACAAATATTAATTAACTCGTTAACTTTTCCCCCCTCGCTAAGAGGCCAGTGAGACCCTGAGGTGTGTGTGTGTGTGTGTGTGTGTGTGTGTGTTGGACTGATCCTGGATTTCTCGCTCCCTCAGAACCACCGGTACCAATTGCCCCACCTCAGCTCACTGCGGTCGGCGCCACCTACCTCTGGATCCAACTCAACGCCAACTCAATCAATGGAGACGGACCCATCATCGACAGAGAGGTGAGTCCTGGTCCATCACTGACCGTTGGTTGTGGTGGTCTGCAGGTGGCGGGTCGGGACAAACCGCCAGTCATCAACTGAGGTTCAGTTGATGACTGAACCTCAGTTCCATTCATTAGCTAGCTAATTAAACAGGTGCAGCAGCCATAGAACTCTGGAGGTTCTTCCCTCTTATTTATGATCCACATGATGATGAACCAGTTGATGACTGAACTGAAGTCAGTCAGTTCAGTCATCAGTCAGAACCTCCTGATGGGTCAGAAGGTTCTCCGGCTCTTTGCTGATGTACTGCGGTTTTCCAGAGGTCTGCTTGGTCTGAAGGGCCGGTGGTTCCTCATGTAAGGCCCACATGGAGTCCGAGAACTTTCAAGAGAGTTCCTGCTAGCTACTGGCAACATCGTACAGGTCCAATGCAGGAACCTGATGTTCCCCCTTTCTGGTTTCACTGGACTCTACTGAGGTTCTGGTGTGTTTGAGGAGTAGAACCTGTAAGGTTGTAGAAGATCTCAGAAAATGTTCCCATGGTTATTTGGTTCTGGATGCATCCACTCCTCATGGCACTGAACTCCTGTAAACATCAGCTAACAAGGTCCTGGAAATCTTTGAGACGGTTCTCAAGACGATCTGGTTGCATATCACTGAAGCTCCTCTTGAGTCAGGTTGGCATCTAATCATGCGTTCTCACCAGATCTTCTTCAATCCTGCTCCAGTCCACTTTAACTCGACTCCAGTCCGTTTGCCTAGTCAAAGTCCAGTTTGGTTGGTGTGAATGCCAATCAACCTCTGACCTCTGGTCCTCCAAACCTCATTCTGGGTTCGGTTGAAGTGAACTCTGGTTCGGTTTAAATGTGAACACCAAGCGGACCAGACACCACTCCAATAGCAGGAAGTGGACTGCAGCATAGGGCATTCTGGGTAAATACAACCAAAGCTAACGTGTTAGCGTAGCGCTAGCAGCAGAAATGGCTCCTGGTCTTTAGCCTAAAGAGAAATCCTCCAACCGCTAAAATCTGACACCTCCATCTTTTTTCCATCTGGTGAAGAAGGAAGTTGCTCTCAGTGTCTTCAGAGGTTTTTGTGTCGTTTCCTTTAGTGGTTCTTGGTGCAGCGCCCCCACAGGCCAGGAGGGGAACAGGTTGCTTAATGTAGCTGCTGGGTTCTAATGCTGTCCTGGTTGCCAGGTGGAGTACCGTACAACGGCGGGCATGCTGATCGACACCACAACTGTCGACAAGCCCACCCACAAGATTGGACACCTGGACCCAGACACAGAGTACGAGATCAGCGTTCTGCTGACCAGGCCCCTGGAAGGAGGGACGGGAAACCCCGGGCCACCGCTCAGAGCCAGGACCAAGTGTGCAGGTGAGTGAAGCCAGTGCTACCTGATGGATGTCTGGTCTGCAGGCCGCCTCGTCTCTTCAGGAGGTTAATGTTGGACCATTAATGCTAAGCTAACTCATCAGGCGGCTAATGGCCAACGGTGAGCTCGTTAAGCAGCCTGCTTCGTTAGTGCTGCGCTCATTAGCCCTGAGTGCTTAAACTGGAGCTCTAATAGCTGTTGCTTACTGGCTGGGTGAACACACACACACACACACACACACACACACACACACACACACACACACACACAAACTGATTTACTGTGTGCAAACAACAAACAGGATGTGATTAGCAATTAGCTAGCTAATTAAACAGGTGCAGCAGCCGTAGAACTCTGGAGGTTCTTCCCTCTTATTTATGATCCACATTTATTTTTTTATTATTATTGTTGCTGTTGTTGTTATTATCTGGGTTTGGTTCTGAAATGTTAAAGGTTTTATCTTCCGTTTATTTTCATGTCACTGATAACACGCTCAGTTATAAAATATTTAGCTTCCATAAATAATAAATATTTACAGCTCATTAAAAATAGATTGAGAGTGAAAGATGTTTATGGAGTAATTACTCTGACATGTTTGTGCAGAACAAAAGGACCAGCCAATAACTTCACTTATAACAATAATAATTATTCACAGTTTCCAGATGCTGGTTTCCCCTCCAGGTTCACTCAACATCAGAATCAATTCAGTTATTGATTTATTATTATTATTATTATTCATATTGATGCCAGTCTGAGTGAATTCCTAGCTGCAGGTCCGGTCTCAGGTTCTGGACTGGTTCTGATTGGGTGCTGCTGTGTTTTTCTGGACTCGTTGGGAGATCTGCTGACAGTTTGGAGATGAAATATGGAGCTGACCGAGGTTCTGCTGGTTCTGATGGATTTAATGACCAACTGATCGATCTTATCGATCTGTGGTTTCTATCAAGAGGTTCTGGGGGTTCTCGATGAAAACGAGCTTTAACGGCTGAAATGATTGATCACCCAAACTTGATTAATTGATCTCATGATCTAAGTTATGCATAGATTAATCACTAAGTGGAGAATATAAAAGAGTTTTTTGCTGAAAAAAACACTGAGTATTAATGAAGCTAAAAACTACAAAATATTGAAACAGTTATGATGACTCAAACCTCGTCAGGTCGTTTCATTTCATCTCCACCTGCTCCAGATTCAGTAAAGGAACATGATTATTGCCTTTAATGTTTATGATTTTTAAAATGAATTCAATTCTCTTCATTTGCGTCTTTAATTTATTTCCCATTTTGCATAAAATGGATGAAAACTGTTGAATGAAAAACCTGCAGAGTGTTTATTCAATCAATCATCAGAGTAATCAACCAAAATTCATTGATTACCACAACAACCACTAGCTGCAGCCTGAGGGCCAGGGACCGGTTCTGATTGGGTCCAACATGTTGGACCGGTTCTGATTGGGTCTGCATAACCGTCTAATGAGGAAGTTGTGGGTATTTAGTGAGATGAGCAGAACCTCCACCTGCACCAGGTGGTTCTGCTGGTTCTGCTCTGCCTGGTGCAGGTGGAGGTTCTCCAACAGGTTGGTGTTCTCTGTGATAACCTCCACCCGTCTGAGCTGTCAGCTGATAAAAACAAACGCTCCTCAGAGAGAACAGCAGGAAACAGGCAGAAACATGAAAAGACGTGTGTGTGTGTGTGTGTGTGTGTGTGTGTGTGTGTGTGTGTGTGATTGGCAGCTCAGGCTCTCGGTGAGCTTCTGAGTGATCATGTTCGCTCTGATAAAACTCATCTGTGTCTTCAGCTGCTTTTATTTATTCATCTGACTGGAGATGAATTATGGAGCAGTCGTGTGTGCGTGTGTGTGTGTGTGTGTGTGTGTCTTTAATAATGAATGAGCGTTCCCATCATTCCCGCTTTAGGATGCAGCGCTCAGTCAGGCGACTCGACTTGGTGACAAACATCTGCTGCCGCCAACCTCTGGCTTGGTTCTGATCGGTTCTGATCCAGCAGCTTCAAATCCTCCACTGATCCATCCAGACCCAACTGGGGCTCCAGAAGAACTTTTACACCCAAATCAAATCTTTACCGGTTCCACCCTGACCCAGATCCTCCTCCAGAACCTAACACCAGGAGGTCCATACATCTGCTGGATGAAACCAGAGAAGAACCGGTCCTGGTACCAGAGCTGCTTCGGTGGGAAGAACCTGAAATGAGGAACTTCAGGGTCTGTTCCTCTGGTTCTGTAAAACACATCCAGAGTTTGGACCTCTGCTCCAGAACCAGACTTGTAGACTGGAGCTGGTGGTTGTGTTGTAGATGTTCTGGACCAACTGTCGGGTTCTTTGTGGCGATCTGTAGAGAGCAGTTTGGTCCCAGATTCTCTGGACCGGTCCGTTAATCCTGAGGTTCTGATTGGACCAGCAGCTGGATGGTGTAGTGAAATCAGAACCTGCAGAACCTAAAGTGTGGTCCAAATGATTCTTGTTGATGTGACCAAAGTTCTGGTGGACCAACCAGAGACATTCCTGAGATAAACTTGCTGAAGGTTCTGGAGCCGAGGTCGGAACCAGCTGAACTCATGGCTTCAGAACTTGACCAGAACCAGAAGACCTTGCAGTCCTGAGATCCAGCCCGGTTCTGTTAACATCCATTAAAGCGTGATGGTCCGTTTGTCTGCAGGCTCTCAGGAAAACACCATCAATATTTCACTTCCCTCCATCCGGGCTTTTTCCACCTCAGATTTTCACGCTCTGTTCGCCGCGCCGCCGCGCATCACAGCGAAAACACCGCACCGCCACCGTGTACGGGTTGGGTTCCAGTTCTGGACTGGATGGAACTGAACCGGATCAGACTGGGTTGGGGTTTGTTGTATTTGATTGAATTGAACATTGTGATCTTACAGCGTAGAATCAAGTCAGTTAGTTTCTGAAGGAACGTTGATCTACAAAATGTGAGTACGGTGGCCCAGAGAGGTCAGAGCAGCATGTTGGTGGTGGACCTCAGATGACCAACACCAACCGATGGAGATTCTGTCCTCTGACAGAATCACGTCCTCATATTTACAGGAAGTGCCTGAATGCATCTTCTGCAGGGGGCGCTGCCTGCAGGGGGCGCTGCCACTGCTACATGCTATCTGTCCTTATCACACTGAATGTTAGAGAAGCAGGAGATCTGAGACCGAGGTCGGAAATATCATTCACAGCAGCTGCTCTGTGTGTGTGTGTGTGTGTGTGTGTGCGTGCGTGCGTGCGTGCGTGTGTCAGTGGCTGAATGCCAGAGTCATGTAGGAAATCTGTTTCAATCAGTCAGGGTGGCGTTGGCTGAAAAGGTCAGGCAGCGAGGCGGCGACTTTTCAGCAGTCAGACGTCATCTGGAGGAGGAGGAAGAGGAGAATGAGGAAGAGGAGGAACTGGAGGAGGAAGGCGGGTCACATGGTGCAGCAGGGGTCATCAGACCTCAAGTCGTTTAACAGCGACACTCTGGATATCCGAGCCGCTGCAGAACCTGAACACCTGTTGTTCCAGAGGAACCCGGTCCGACTGATTCCAGTCCAGATCTTTGGTTGGATCCGGCTGATTGCATCAGGCATTAGCTCCCGCCTCCTCAGCAAGCACATGGCGACAGTGGACAGGAACCGCTCTGAAGACGGGTCCAGACCGAGTCTCCTGCCGACCCGTTTGGACTTGAAGACTTGGTTGCTTAAATATGGAGCCAGAACAGAACGCCATTTGGTTCCATTAGTTCCAACGCAACAAGTGGCTGCTTGAAATGCTGCTGGACAGGGACATGTCCAACAGAGACGTGTCCAACAGAGAGACATGTTCAACAGAGACGTGTCCAACAGAGACGTGTCCAACAGAGAGACATGTCCAACAGAGACGTGTCCAACAGAGACGTGTCCAACAGAGACATGTCCAACAGAGACGTGTCCAACAGAGACGTGTCCAACAGAGACATGTCCAACAGAGACGTGTCCAACAGAGACATGTCCAACAGAGACGTGTCCAACAGAGAGACATGTCCAACAGAGACGTGTCCAACAGAGAGATGTGTCCAACAGAGACGTGTCCAACAGAGACGTGTCCAACTGTCACTCAGAAACATTTCTTCTTTGAGGAATTGAAGGATTTCATGAGGCGGCTTTCTCTTCCCCCCGGGGATTATGGGTAATAGGATCCAACTCAGCCCCTCCTTCTCTCCTTGAACCCCAACCCCAATTGTTGCCATGGCGATGTTAGTGCGTGTGTGACGGTGTGTGTGCTCTACATGCAGCAGGGTTTTAGCTCTGTCCGTCTTTCATCCCACAATCGAGAAGAAGCTCACAAGTGGTCCACTAACAGCCTCAGAGGGTGTGTGTGTGTGTGTGTGTGTGTGTGTGTGTGTGTGTGTGTGCGCAGCCACAGCTCAATAACAGGAAGTTTGTGAGCAGCCTTCATCGACCACACACAGATGAAAGGTAAGAGAGAACAGGAAAAGTATTGTTCTGCATGCGCGCGCGCGCACACACACACACACACACACACACACACACACACGGGGAGGCAGTTTTTGTCATGAGAAATTGCTCTGAGCTACTTTCATCCATCATTCCTCCTCTGAGTGGATCTCTGTCTGTCATCCATAAACACAGAAATACTGAACTCAGATTGGCTGCTATTTTTGTGTTTGTGTCTAGATGTGTCTAGGTGTGTATAGGTGTGTGTCTAGGTGCGTATCTAGGTGTGTGTCTACGTGTGTCTAGGTGTGTGTCTAGATGTGTGTCTAGGTGTGTGTCTAGATGTGTGTCTAGGTGTGTGTCTAGGTGTGTATAGGTGTGTATAGGTGTGTCTAGGTGTGTATAGGTGTGTCTAGGTGTGTCTAGGTGTGTGTCTAGGTGTGTATAGGTGTGTCTAGGTGTGTGTCTAGGTGTGTCTAGGTGTGTGTCTGAGCTCCATCTCG